GGACATAAGAGAGAACCGTAAGTTTCTGGATTTACTCCTAAGTCTTCTAAATTGCAAACTTCTGTATGACAAGTATCTAGCAATTCTCTAAGCAGAGAGACATCTGTCGATTTCCTAACAGCTGTTAGATTTAACAGCTTATTCAAATAAGAATTAGTGAAGTTTTTCATCTAAATCTTTTAGTCCAAATCTCTCCTTTAAGGTTTCTATTGCTGCTTCGTAATTTTGATTTGTTAGTGTAATTCCTTTAATTGCATTTGTAGCTACTCCTGTTAAATATGAGTGTAAATAATTAAATTTATCTATGTTAGATAAATCTTCATTTCTGTGTATCAGGGATTCAAACTGGTCTCAGAATCTTTGCCAATAGGCAGGATCGCCATCGTATCTTCTTATTTGTTAACGATGGAAATTTAACGAATTGTTTTTCTAATTTTAACAAGCTAATAGATTGTTGTGTTCTTTGTGTATTTGGTTTACATTTAGTGATAGCAGCTTTCAACTTACATGAGCAATTAATCAATTCTTCATGATACTCATCAGGTTTAATAATTTGGGTTCTATTTCTTTAACATCCGTAATTTGACGTTGAATTTCAGAATCTATTTCTTTTAACTGTTTAAATTTCAAATTTATCTGTTCTGAAAGTTCTTCCAACTCTTCTTCTGTTTCATTTTCTAAAATTCGAGCTTCGATTTCAGAAATTAATCTTATTGTAAGAGATAAGCATAGCTCTTTTTGCCTTTGCGATTTCCATTTCAAAATCACTTTTAACAATGCTTTCAAATTAACTTGATATCCTCATTAACTAAATTGCGCTTCTGATTTTAATTACATAAAGAAGAGGAGTTGGAAATCATTTGCAACTTGTTCAATCAAAATGAAAGTAATTTGCAATATAAGACTCATTTCTTAACAAAAAGAGAATATTAAATCTTTCCTTGAACCATTTTTATATTTATTTTACTTGGAACACGGTATCCAAAGATAGTAGCACGTATTTCCAAAGTTAGCAAGACTTATTACTATATTCTTTATTCAAAGCACAACCAGTGTATTCGGCATTTTTCCAGCTTTATGACCAAGTTATAAAAAAAATTATATTTATATTATATTGACTTCCTTAAGAGTGCTGATCATACTTAATTCTAATTGAAGCCAATACTTCAGCAATCTACAAAAATAATCATTTTATTTACAAAGCAATCTGGATTGCATCGATGGTTCATTATCTACTACGTCGCAAGCTGAACTAACATTCTTTTTTCAGAAGAGAAGCACCCTCTAATGGCGATACAAAAATCGTTTGTGGGGGTTTTTCGACGTCAGTTAAGTTCTTTTATTCAAGAAGTTCAATAAAAGTGATAATTCCTAAAGAGTAAACTGGTTAAAATGTCAGAAAACATATAATAGAATAATGTTATATTTTTGTATTCATTAATTAAAATCATTAACCAATTAACTGCCAAAACTACAAGGAATAGTTCTTTTCTCATGAAAATAATAACAAATATTAAATTAAGTATTTATAACATAAATTTACATTGAAAATTAAAAAAATGCTCTTACCTGTGGAAAAAGCGAGTGTTGCATTCACACAACGTCAGCGGAATAAAACTACGGATGTTTAGTGACATTGTATTTCTTTTACAAATACAGATTATTTCATTTGAAAGATTCAAGCATGAAAAGCTTGTACTCGTGTGATGTTTCTTTTGAGTGGAGCGCAGGATTACTTTTTAGCTGTATAACGTTTTATAAATCTACAAATCACTTTACTTGTAATTAATTTAATATTAAAATATACATTGTATTTCTTTTACAAATACAGATTATTTCATTTGAAAGATTCAAGCATGAAAAGCTTGATTACAATCATGATGTAAAGCTACATTACATACTTTGCATCTATAAACAGTCTGGCTATGGTACTCTTTACAACAAAGTCTTTTGTTATCAACGGACTTTACGATAAAATGTCTACCATCTCCATGCAATGGTTTTTTGAATGCTGAATTTACTAGGTCTTCCTGTTGTTGATCTATTTCTGGCTAATCTACACTCTCAATAGGAGTTTGCAAAAGGAATAATGCATTCTCGCGTCTGAAATCTAAAAGAGTATTTCCAGTAGTTAAAAAGTGGTGATATTTAGTAAGTTTAGATATGGTCTCACCTCATATAATTTATCATTATTGTCAATTTGATGTCAAATTTTCTGCTTCATATTCCTGTACTGCAAACGTGATATCATTCTCGTACAACAGGAACAGAAATGTCCTTATCAAAAGACCAATACATTTTTTTCTTGAGGTAAAGAATGATATCCTGTAAGCAATAATATTTCCAATAAATCTTCTCATATAGGCTTCAGATGCAATAATTTTTTTTTTTTTTTTTTTTTTTCCTGAGCGTATATATTTGTCTGTTCAACGAGAAGAGAGTAAATGTCTAAACCAAAAAGAAAATCGAAAATCTGTGCACTAGTTTTACCTTGTATTTTGTCTTTTATAATTTCTCTTCTATCTCTTTCTTCATGTTTTTCCTGAGACATAACTAACAGTTCCTTTTTTATCCACTTCAAGATTTCAGTCTTCTGCTTTTTAAACTTTTTAGTATGACTATAACTGCTTTTAGAAAGCTGAAACTTACTTCTTACATGGGAATTTCAACTTCCCCAGCAGTATCATTTGGTAAAATATCATTATCATTATTTAAAACATTGCCATTCCTTTCTTCTTCGTCACTAGCCTCTGCAATTTCTGGGGGAACAACAACAATATCAGTTTCATTCTGGTCATTATTAACATTATCATCATCTGTTTCTTCATCAAAAATCTTTGAAGGGCTTCTTTTAATGTAAGATACATCGTTCTAGGCATTTTTGAACAACCAGAACATCGAAAGGAATGAGTGAAAAAGGAGATTGACTACCCGTTTCCTGCTGACGTTGCGTCAACGCAACACCTGTTTTCCCTTTCCTTCCCAACACAAATATAAACATCTGACTGATGTAATGTTCTGATAAACGGTGACCTTGACTAAAAATAGATCACTCATAAAGACGGCGATTCTTTCGTTTAAATATTTTCAGCAAAAATACCCGGTCGAAAATTTGCTTAAATTTTGCTTAAAGTATGAGATTAATTATTATAAACAAAATGATTGTTGAAGGCAAATATTTTTTTACAGAAATAATCTTCATAATATTCCCTACACAAAATCATCTGCTGGTATAAAATATCTTAGGTAGTTATATTTATATACGCATTTACTTTGACCGTTGTGTCAACGCAACACCAGTGGCTAATGGGTTAATTTTAAAAATTAAGCCAATCATTAAACAATAAATTAGCTATATAAATATGTTCTAACTTTCAGGACCCTTCTGTGTAATTCTTTGACTATTATTCTTTTTTCCCTTTCAATTTATATTTGCCTAATATAACTACTTTTTTAAATCTACGAGGCGTGATCCAAAAAAAGTTTACAAGGCAAATGAAAAAGTATTTATTAACAATAGAAACAAGATACAAATGGGAATCAAGAGACACATCTGGCCTTCACTTTTCCACATGATCGCCAAACCTGTTTAGACATTTGTCAGAACGTTCGACCAACTTGTTTATGCTGTCTTGGTAGTAATCAGGGCCCTACTCATTGAGCCATTTCTCGGCAGCTGTTTTCACTGCATCGTGCCTGAGGTGAACCGTGTTCCAGGATAAGTATCGCTTCAATGCTGGAAAAATGAAGTAGACTCACTTGGAGCCAAATCGGTGGCTGTTATGGGGGGTGATTCCAGACCTCCCACTTGAACCTATTGCAGCAATTCCTGAGTCTGGTGAGCTGTATGGGGCCCGGCATTGTCATGCAGAATTATGCCTTTGCTCAGTAATCCAGGCCATTTGCGTCGGATGGCTTTACGCAATTTCGTTAAGGTGGCACAATAACGATCGGCCTTAATGGTATGTCCACACGCCAAATACTCGATTAGTATAACACCATTCGTATCCCAGAAAACAGTTGCCATCACTTTACTAGCAGAGGGTGTGACTTTAAACTTCTTCCTCATCAGTGATCCAGCATGTTTCCATTCCATCGTGGCTCATTTGAGTGTGTGGGTAAAGTGATGAAGCCATGTTTCATCACCGGTAAGGATGCGATCAATGAAGTGTTGGCCGTCTGAATGGTATCGCTGAAGAAATGTGAGGCTGCACATCATTCGAGTGGCCTTATGCTCCGCGGACAACGCACGTGGAGCCCAGCGGGCACAAACTTTGGAATATCGCAACTCATCGGTTACGATACGCTGAACGTTACCATAACTCAGGTTCAACTCTGAGGCAATCTCATGCATGGTTACTCGTCGATCCCTTTGGATGATTTCTTCAACACGTGCCGTGTTGATATCCGTCCTTGAAGAACTTGGACGGCCGCTCGCTTCCATATTGCGGTTTTCCACATGCTCCCTGCCCGCTTGACAAGAACGACACCATTTCACTACCTGTTGTCTACTCATTGCTTTGTCCCCGAATACCTCAACAGTTTGTCTGTGAATTTTGGATGCAGCCATATTCTTGGCCCATAAGAATCGAATTATGGCTCGCACCTCTATGCGAGACCACTTTTCTAGATGTCATGCCATTACTTTCGCTCTTAAGTGTCTGCGTACTGTCGCTACTTACTCGTAGAACCGCTGTAGGACAACTAGCGCCATCTGTCAACCACCCTGGGTGGAAATATTCGCTCCACAATTATTACGTTTCAAATGCTTCTGCTTGTAAACGTTTTTTTGGATCAATCTACGTAGTATCTGTTTATAATAAATATACCTTTGTATACTGTTTATAATAAATATACTTATATAGTATTGTACTTTTTCAGAATATATTTTGCATATTTTTTTTGTATAAAATTTAGTGTACACCACATTCTGTTACTTAAATGAACATGTGTAATTATTTCTGTAAAACGTTTTCATGTGAAATTTGTTTCATTTATAGAGATGCTCAGCTAACAAAACTTCCTGATAGCAAGAAGATGCTGATATTTGGTTTCAATGGTAGCTTTCTATATGCATTATATTTTAAAATTAAATTGTACTTCTGTTATTAATGAAAGTTACGGTGGCTTTCTGTTACCAAATATGTGAAATAAAAAACTATATTTTAAATCCTATAACTTATTTTGAAAAGTATTCTTTCAAAATATTATATGGCTTTTGAGGGGACTATAGTAAAGCTCTACTTTTGATTTGTGTTATAAAGTTTTAAAACTCGGTATTTAAACAATACTCTGCAAGGAAGTTAGTCAAAATTAATAAGTTACAATTTTGCTGAGCTTCCCCCCCCCCCGTCCAATCCCATCTTAAAAATTACTATCCAGAAAAAATCTGTAGCAAAATTCACATATAACATTAAAAAGGAGAGGTGGAATTGTAGCCTATTTATATCCCATCATGAGCAGCTGTGTAATGATAATATATATAATGCTTTAAATAATGAATAAAAAATTGCCTAATTATTTATATTATTAAATCTTAATGCATGTTTTTTTTAATTTACACTTATCTGATCAGTTTTTTTTTTTTTTTTTTTTTTTTTTTTTTTTTTTTTTTTTTTGGTTATTTTTTAGTAGACTGAATTAAAAAGCTGTCTTAAAATGATCAATCATTCAGCCAGAATTTATCTTTAATATTAATTTCTGAGAGTTTTATTGCCTGTAAAATACTGTTTTAAAGAAGTGTCATTATATTATTAAAAATAAATTAAAATTGTTTGTTGTAGAATTAATTATTTTATAATACAGTGGTTAAAATTGTTGAAGACCTTTATGGTATTCTTAAATATTTTTCTTATTTTATTTAAGATATAAATGCATGTGATTACACGAAACATAGCTAGGCATGTATGATATTCAAAAATATATTTTTTAATTTATCCCCCTGTCTTTCTCTTTCTATATATGTATATATTGTTGCTTTCTATGGGTTTGTAGATTTGGAGTAATTGAGAATAACACTTGATGAAAAATCAAAACACAGTTTATTTGGCAGTATTGCACAGGAGAGTTCCAAAGAGATTTTTTACAGCCGTAAAAAAACTACAATAAACACATTGAAACAAACACCAACACCTTCAGGCTACAACGGTAGCAACACAGTCTTCTTCATTTGTTCTCAAGCTAATCCTGTGAACTCAAAACACTACTACTGAACTCATTATACTCTCCTACTCCACGTACTAGCTAGGTATATATAGCTTTTGATCTGCCTTCGAGAACATTCCCGGGAAAACCGGTAAGAATTTATTCTGGAATGTTCTCACTCTGTCTGTAGCATATCACCAAATCTGGACACTCTAAACCTGATTTACGGGGAAACTATTTTCACAGCTGCATATTTTGCAACACTACCCCCTCCAAAACCTGCATATCCTGGGCAGTACAATCCTTGGTCAGAAGCCAAATTCAGTACAAAGTAAGCAAAAATAAAAGAGACAAATATTTACACTATTTACAAGTTATGTACACAAATTAACCACATAACCATTTTAAATTATATAAATTAAAGCACAGAATGAATTTCAGTCTCAGACTTTTCATTAAATTATACCTCGGTTGATTACTTTTTCACTGCAATTCTCAGATGTATTTCTGTTTTGCATATCACAGTCTAAAGATTCAGTCCTTTCAGATTTTTCATTCGCAGGAAGATCTGAAACAGTTTACTTATCACTCTTTAGTTTATTTGCATCATGTGTACAGTTCACTTTGGTATTTTTAGCAGTTAGTACATGCTTCTTTTTCTGTATTTCCTGAAAACCAGTTCCAGTTTTCGTTTTAGTTCTGAATAGAAACTGATCCTTTCAAACAAAAATATCCTGGTTTAGAATCAAGTTTGTGTACTGTGCAGATTGTATTATGGGACACATATGTAGTTTGGGAAGTGGGTGTATTTTCTTGTAATACTGGAACACTCTACTTAAGCTGTACATCAACTTCTTCCATCTCTGTATCACATGAATTTTCAGGTGGTTCAGTATTTGCTAACTGATACTTTCACAGTTTCTACCAACTTAACAGTCACATTTTCATTTTCTTCCATCTCTATTTCAGGCACTAGAAAATCGGGGAAATTTATTTCCATGAATTATTTATTCACCTTTTTCAGATTGCTTTACGAGCCACTTCTTTTATTTCTTCATTTTTACAAACAGTATTGTCACTTTCTTCCATTTTAACTTCAGGCACTTGAGAATCAAAAGCTTCTTTCCTGTCTTTTATTTCTTCAGCTTTTCATTCTTTTTCTTTAATCTTCTTAGATGTTTCATCCTTCATTTCTTGATCTTTTCCAGACAGTTCACTAGCTACTTCTTCATTTCTTTATCCTTTGACTCTCCAGATGCTACTTCTGTCATTTCCACATCATCTGTTATAGCTCCAGTTTCTTCTGTAAGCTCCACTTTCATCTGTTTGAGTTGCTCTTGCAACTTTTCTTGGCTGGCTTTTATTTCGCTCACTAACTTTTCTAGTCCCGCCTTGATTTCTTCCTGTCTGGCTTTCAACTCTTCTTGTCCAGCTTTTATCTCTTCCAGTCCGGCTTTTACAACTGCTAACAAGCCCATAAAAGCCTTCATTTTATCCGCCATGGCTTTTCATGTAAGCAAGTCACTGTCATTCACTCTCAAAACCCACTCATGATACCAGTTGTTATGCTCTACAGGTTCGTGGATTTAGAGTAATTAATGATAACACTTAATGAAGAATTAAAACACAATTTATTCACTAGTATTACACAGGAGAGTTCCAAAGACACATTTACAGTTGTTAAAAAATTGCAATAAACATGCTGAAACAATCAGCAACACAGCCTTCAGGCTACAACAGTGAAGACAGATTCACCTCAAAGCACTAAAGTACGCACCCAACTCAGTGCGGTCATTCTGAATGTAATCTCTGAACTCAACATACTCTCAAGATATTCTCCTACTAAGTGTACAGGCAGGGTGTGCCTTTGAGAACATTTTCAGGAAAACCAGTAAGAATTTGTTTTAGAATGTTCTCACTCCATTTATGGTGTATCGCCAATTTTGTGCCAAATCTGGCAACCTTAAATTCAGTTCGCAGGGAAGCTATCTTACTACTGCAGCTACTCATTTTGCAACTATATATATGAGATTCAGATCCTCATGTTTTCTATGAATATATATATATATATTCATAGAAAACAGTAGGATTTGAATTACTATGTTCCTATCTTGTTGTAACAATGAGAGTTAGGAGACTAACACGAATAATAATTTTAATCTGCATACCTTTCTTTCTATACTTTAATATTTCATTATTGAATGCACTGAAAGAAACTGCATATTGGAAGCATTCTAAATTTTTTATATTATTTTAGTTCCTGGCAAAGGGAAAACTACTCCAGAGATGATGGAAAATTTGAAACCTCTACTGCAGTTAGTATTTTATTCAGTAGAAAAAGTGAAGAGATTTCATCTCACTAAAGAGGTAAGTCTGCTGTTATTATATAATTAATCAGTATGTGAATTAAAAAAAAAGAGAGGAGGCGCTAAGAAAACTGTTGGCATGAATTTCCAGAAACTATCACAAGTAATTTAGTATTATAAATTATTCATTTCATATTTGAATAGTAACTGTTATTTATTGCAAATAAAATTGATTCATTACTTGGTTCTGAAAAGTTTTAATTTGTGAAAGCTTTTAAATTTTTTAAAGCTTTTCCTTTAATTGGGTGCCACTTGCCAAAAGTGGTAGCCTTTTTATATCACATCATGAGCGGCTGTGTAATGATAATATATATAATGTTTACTTTGCACACTAATGAAGCTTGTTTATGCTGAATTTGTGCTATTTTCTGATGTTTTTAATTTTAAAATATTAAAAAATTGCTCAAATTCAGAATTGTGCATATTAAACATTGTATATATTGTATTCATTATGGGTAAAATAATTACTCTTTTCATGAAACATTATTATTATGTTAAGGTTCCCACTAGTATTTATATTTGGTTCTAAATAGAACTCATTCAAATGAAAAGTGCCAAATATTATCATGACTTTATAGTTTTAGGACTGCTGAATTGGAAAATCACTGTAGTTCCCCCTTCTGATAGGGTTTCCCCCCCCCTCTGATTAGTGTTACAGATACATGTATCATGTTAAACTGAATAATGATTGAAGCAATCAAATGGAATGATTTCAGTAGAAGATACTATGCATATAGAAAAAAAAAATATTAAAATACAGTTGTTTATGCTGTAAAATCAAAACCAAAGACTTAAGAGTTTTTGCTTTTTCTTTTGTTACTAAAATTGTGATTTTGTTCTTTCTTTTATATCAGGCATCTGAATTCCAACACAGCCACTTCCAAAAGTAATTACATCAAAATTCTAGCAATCCTGATGTCTTTGTCCATTTCCTTAGTTTTCATAGAAGTGCTTTTCTTCTTGCACCAAGATCTGAAAATATATTGTATGTGAATTTATAAAATTATGTTTTATACTCGTAAAGCAGCTTAAAGATTTAAAATGTTGTAGTATGTATTTAACTATAGCTGTATAATCTTTATTAATATTACAAATCTTAGTGACATTCTTTAGACAAATTCAGGTTTCCTTTCAAATTCATTCACTGTATAAAAAATTTCATTTAACATTATTTGGTAGTTTTTCATTAAAGACATGTCATGCATTTTTGGCATTTTATTGGTGCGTTATGACGTATTTCTTTCCCCCACACCTTTGACTCAAGCATATATTTCACAACAACTGAGGCAACAAAAGTCTAATTTCTTGACAAATTCTTCCAAATATCCAGTGTAGGTGAAGGACACAGCTTACATTCTTGTTTCTTTTTGTGAATGAGTTTTCATTAATTCATTTCACAAGTTTGTTGTGCTCAAGGATTTTAACACTGGGATGAGGTAATAAAAATTTGATACCTACCTTTTACACCTTATTCTAATCAACTGTTTTGTGTGTTTCATTCAAAGGAAACTGTGATTTGCAAAACACAATAAATGTTAACTGTGCACACCATAAGCAAATGAATCGGGTGGCAGCAAAAAAGGAAATGAATGATCCAACAAACCATGTTTTGTGCGTAAACACCTTTTTTCTTCGTAACATGAGTGAAGCCGCACAGCTGTTTTGGTTTTAAATCACATTTTAATTTTTTGATGTGATTATTCCAACAAACCCAAACCAAAGAATCCATTTCAGTAAGAAAGGGGAATAAAACTTGCATGTGACTGATTAGGTGAAAGGACAATTGATATATGTTACAAAGACAAGTACCATATTGGATAAGAAGCCAGACTAAACTTTTCACACATGGCACCAAAGTAATATGCCAAAACAAAAGCACCAAGTAGCATGTATTTAACTATGGCTATATAATCTTTATTAATATTCCAAATCAAAACCAAAGACTTAAGTCGTTGGTTTTGATTGGAATTACTTTAATGGAAAGGTACCGATTATTTTCTAATGTCTTAAATTCTTATGAAAATATCTTCTTTCAATTTTATTTCCAATAAACAGGAAAATTTTTCATAGAGATGTATGAAAATTAATTACTTCATGGATTGTTGTCATGAATCTTAGATTTATGTGAAGCAGTTTCTCTTTGCTACTGCTACTAAGGATTTATTGTAAAATAGTATTTCTGTCAAACTGGAATTGTTTTTTAGTGGTCCGTGATTTTGTTTCCAATTTTGATAGTTTGCTGTACTGTCCCATTCACTGAAATATGGGAACATAATATGAGTGCCCTATGAAGCATACTCAGTATTCTAAGATTTCCATAAATCATTTGTTCATCCTTTTTGCATTTTTTATGTGAGAACTTCTTTTATAAATTTCCTTAAAATTATGGAGATAAGACTCTAGATGTTAGTCCTGTTATATAAAAGCAACACTTCAAGGCTTCTTTTGAAAGAGACAATTAAAAATCAGATTTTATGAATTTAATAAAATATGAATTTGTTAATATTAGTAATAAAATTTTATTTACTGTATACATTATCATTTTGTTAATGAAAAAAAGTTGTTTTTGATCACTGTCATTTTTTTTTTTTTTTTCCTTAACATAGATTAGAAATGTTCTCTAATGTCATGTAATATATTTGTAAAATTTATTATTATGTGTTTTTAGAACATAATTAGTTTGCATTTATTATTTATTCATAACATCTGTTTTGATGACATTTATGTTGTACTAATTTGGGCACTTTAATTGCTAATAGACAGTAATCTAGTTTTGAAGGTATAATCCCATTTTTAATTGTGTGTTCAAAATACGATTAAGTGCATCTGAAAACTTTAAAATTGTTTTTTCATATCAGATTTATATGATTATTAAATAGTGTTACATTACATTATTAAATTTTTGCTTATTGCTTTAATGTAATGCTTAATGAAAACATTGGTACTGGTAAGTTAAGAAATAATTGTAGAAGTCATAATAACTCAAAAAATAAGCAGGTATTTTGTATGATATTTAGGTGAAAACTGTACTATATTTCAACTGTTTTTTCAATTAAATATTTCAGATAACATTAATAAATAATTAGCAATCTTTGGAAATTGTGTAAATTGAATAAAGAAAATGTCGTTCAGTTAATGCATAATATAAAGTTGTCTAAATTTTACCAGTTGTGAAAGAATAAATAATGCCCATCTCAGTAGATAAGTGTTCAAATCATCTTGCTACTTAAGTATTGTATTATGGTGAGATTCTGTTTCAGGGTGCGTAGCAGTCCTTATAAGTATGTATATTTGAAAATAAAGTATAAAGGCTGTAAATTTTTGTTATTTATCAAATAACTATATTTAATGTTGAAGTGGCAATGCCATATTTGTGTTAGGTAACCGTTGCTCAGCAACGTAAGAAATTGTTTTTAAGATTAGTATTCTAAAGTTTTTTCCAGCTAGTAGTTGCATGAAATTTTTGCCACAAAATAATTTTCTTCAAATTATCTATCTCTGTAAAATAAAAATAAAATTTATGTTCTACTAAGAAGATTATCGGTTTTGTCAATTACTGCAAAATACATTACAGTCTTGGAGGTTCCACCAAGATACTGGAAAATAGGAGTGCAATTATCAATTTCGATGGTGCTAGTCTCCTAATCCCAGAAAGTTGCTGAAATTTTTTAGAACAAGTTTGGTATTACCAATTGAAGTTTATTTCAAGGAGAAATGGATGTCAGAAGTCTGCCGTTTTGAAGCAGATCATTCAACGGTTATCTTCTGTGTTTCTGTAACTTGCGTCCGAACAAAGAATTGTCAGAACAGGATATTGCTGATCTCCAAAGATAAGATTAACTTTTGGTTTTCATAAAAATGTATTTATTGAATTTAAGTATTTCATTTCAGAATTATATTGAGATAGTGTAATTTCTGTGTAAAATAACTGATAGTAAAAAAAGGAGGAGTAATTTACAATTGATATTTGTGGTAAAGAAGTATTTAAAAAAAATTATTATTTAGTCTTTACTGTTTTTTTTTTTTTTAAATTTTTTTGTTGATAATTGATATATGTAGGCCATCCCAGCATTTATTAAAAAAAAAAAAAAAAAAAAAAAAAAAAAACTGCTAGCTGAGTTTTTGAATTTGTTGCCAAGCAGGCGCGTGAAAAATAAGTAGTAATGTCAAACTGACGTAGTGTGATTTGATTATACTGCAGAATTGGCAAAAGTCTTTTCTTATTCTCGCCATCCAGGCGTGTGGTAGATAATGTTATCCCTATGTATTACAGATTGTATATTGTAAAAAGTGTACTGCCGAACTGGCAAAAATTGCTTTTGTTATCGCCAACCAGGCTGGAGATAGATGGTAAAATCATCAAACTGACATGGGTAAAATTCCATTGTATTTGCCTAACTGGCAATGGTGTTTATATAGCTAACGAGGCTTGTGAATAGTTAGTTAAAACATCAACTCGACGTAGTATTATATTATTTTGTGCCAACCTGGCAAAGTTGTTTAAATAATTCTCTCCAATTGGTTAGTGTGAATTTCGTATTTGAGAAATTAAGTCTCGCCAGAAATTATACATTTTTAATACAAATAGGATCTTTTAGATTCAATTTTAAAAGGAAACCTATTAAAGGTAACTTGTGTCAGCATGTCCATTCTTAGTTAGGAGTAAGAAAACAGGATTAAAAGTACTAGGCAGAAGAGTTAGGTTTAACCGTGAAACCTGAATTTAAGATTGCTCAGTTGCATAAATTTGAATTACTGAAAGTCCCGGTTATGATGAAGAGTTTACTCGAGAACTACTGGCTGCAATTAGAGAAAAAACGGAAAGAAAGGAAGAATGTAAAAGAGAGAACGCAAAGAAAAAGAAGAGCACGAGAAGAGAAAGACGAAAGAACGTGAAAGAGAAGAAAGAAAAGAAGAGCATGAAAGAGAAGAGCTAATTAAAGCCTTTGAGCTACAGAAATTTCAGTTGGAAGCAATGGCTGCAACAGCGCAGCCGGTAGA